TTTTTTTTTTTTTTTTTTTTTTTTTTTTTTTTTTTTTTTTTTTTTTTTTTTTTTTTTTTTTTTTTTTTTTTTTTTTTTTTTTTTTTTTTTGTTTTGTTTTTTTTTTTTTTTTTTTTTTTTTTTTTTTTTTTTTTTTTTTGTACCAACCCTGCCTGTGCTCAAGCATCTCGGCAGAGCCAAGCAAGCGTTATGTACAACCCACAAGATGCAAAATTCATGGCCGCAGCTCATTGGAGTAGGCCGAGTTCCCCACCATGTCCACCTTATTCTAACAGCATAACTACCTACCTAGGTACCCTTTGTCGTGTGCTGACGCGGCCCTTCGGTGATACTGTTGGTAGTTGTTAACCGTACATTCATGTACGGTAGATAATACAGCAGGTGGTAGCTTATTACAAGCTTATTACATACTATACACTATACATACTCTGTAGATTAGTTCGACTCTCCTTCTGGGATCGGCGGGCTTCGGAATGTCGAGCCTAAACTAATAGGGCCCATATCTCCGCGAGGTGGAACATCGTATACCACCACCAGAAACCTGACTTCCGAGAGCATAACAAATTGAACGGTGAGATAGAGAAATGCCCACCGGCGATCGCATCTAAGCAGTACACGTGGGCCACAGGGGTAATGAACGTACTATATACGAATATACTATGTCCGCAAAATGCCGGCTCGGTACCGTCGGGAATGCGAAGAAACCGAATATCGTCTTGGACGGCGCAGCGAATATTGAATATTGTATCGGACAGTGAATGTTTGGCAAGATAGTACTATAGTAAGTAGGCAGTGTATAGGTCTGCGCCGCGAACCGGGGGGTACTTCATAACAAGCCTGCGACTAACACGACTAACACCCTAATATGTACCAAACAGACGAATTAGGGTGTAGCCAAGAAACGTCAAGAAAACGCCAAGCTTCTAATCGTGTAACGAAGAAACGGTCATCCAGTCCAGTATATGCATACATACAGACATACAGACATACATACAAAGTGATATCGTTTTCAACCGATGCTAATTGCCTAGCGAGCCCAGGCCCTAAGGGTGGACGCACGGTGGAAACATGGGCTGATCAGGATCTGGGTTCACAATCGTATCAACGAGATCAAGGTAATCCTGCACCCCGGATACACGTGAATCATCTCGGGAGCACAGAGATTCGTCGGGTAGGTAGGCAGGCAGGCAAGCGTCCTTCCTTCGATAGTCGCTCGGCCAAGCGCTTCATCGTCTTGCTTATGGGGAAACACTCTTCCCGACGACGAATCATCAAACTTGACGGCGGCTTTGTTACCTAATAGAGCAGCTTGGCGCTCTTTGTATAGGTAGGTAGGTAGTTATGTATTCGAAAGCCCCAACATTCCCCCACCGGTCACGAGCCAAAGTGTACATACGTAGTAATAGTAATAGTAGCAGTAGCAGTAGTAGCAGCAGTGGCAGTAGTACACTAGGTAGTAGTAGTATATTGACGACGTCCGCCACCAGCTAGGAAGAGATGGTGATAATGGATGTGACGAAAGGAAAACGGGATGAATCTGCCGGCTGCTCTTTGCGCCGGGAATTACACCGCAGCTCGATGCTACCTATAGCTCGTCCAAATAGAACTTGTTCTTGGCAAGCGGCTAAGGCTGCCTGCTTGCATCTGCACCCTATCGCGATGAAACCAGCTTTTTTTTTCTAAGGGTTAATTGAAGGGGAGGGGAGGGGGGAAACATCGTGTCGTCGTTGAAGGCTAACTGCATCAATGACAGCTTTTGGGGCCGCGACCCCAATGGATACATAGCTGCCTTCGATATTCCTTGCATTAGATGAAACGTCAGTAGGACCTAAAGACTGAGGGTGCGGTCATATGGCCCCAAATCCGTCCTTTGCCGGCATAATAGATAGTATGGGCACAGTTGGCAAAGCCGAACGAAGGTAACGCGTAGTAATAATAAACCGAACGCTACGCCGTAGAAGCGGCCGAGCAGGCGAGAAAAACTCGCTGTTGGACCGGTCAGGTCGCGGGAAGGCCAGTGACTGGTCGTGATCTGGGTGTTCGCAGATATTTCCAGCTTAGGCGTGTCTCATATCAAAGCCGCCGTTGTACAAAGTTGCTCCAGCTAGGTACGGAAGGGCTCATCACTTTGCCCCTGACACTGAACGCTGCTCCCTTTCGGCCGTACCAATGATGGCCTGATAAAATTACAACAAGTGCCCACCGAGATTGGAGAGGCTCAAAATATCACAAGCTCCAAAAGGTATCAGGTATCTTAATAACCCAAGGGATGATAGGATTGTACTGGAGTTGTCCAAGAAGGACATTGGGCTCTAGTCTCCAGTAGAAAGTGTTTGACTTGACTAGGTGGATTTGCACACTTGTGGATCTTCCACAAGAAAAAAAAAAAAAAGAAAATCTCTCATCTGTTGTACTTCCCCGGAACACTTCCAATATTCACCGATCGGGGATGGGGGACGAAGTGCTTGTGGTGCGGCAGGCAAGTGCTCCAACTGCCGAATATCATGAACAAGTTCTGTCGATCTATCGCCACCGAATTCAAGCGCTAGGGATGTTCGAAGGCCTGCGCGTGCGATAGGAATTAGGAATTGGGTTACCTACTAGATGGGATGCTTTCTGTATTGTATGATGCTGTTTTTCCTAGAGTACCTAACACTACATAATTACAATTAAGCATAAAGCAGCAGCAGCAGCAGCTAGCAGCATGTTACTCCGAAGTCCCTTACCTCTCTGTCATAGGGTAGGGGTACCATTCGAGTGACTCTTTACTTTCGCTATGCGGGTAAGCTGGGGCTCGTAGATAATCGACCGGTATCCTGCTTAAGGTATCCCTCGAGCTCGTCCTAATATAAGCGGAGAGTGGTGGATATGGCAACACAAGACCCATACGTCGTGTTTAGGACCTGTCAAAACTAGCCTTAGACTTTGATTCTGCCCTCGTGAAATCCGGATCAATGCACAACAGAACGCCACAAAGCTTGTTCGGCAGTCAAGTCAGAATCAATATTACTTTTGTGCGAAGGTGGCACAAGACACTCTCCACGTCCCACGTCCCAGAGAAGTAAGCGTTAACGAGCACGGCATGCCCGCTAGTATATTGTGTTCTTATTGTGTGTTCAACAATCACATCGGCCGTACCAGCGGGGAAACGCGGAAGTGTCGTGTATTGTTTGGACCCCGGAGAGATAGCATATCAGCCGATCGAAGCCCAAGCCGAAGCCGCCATGAGGAGGACAGCCCCAGCGCCGTAGGTCAACATACCAGTTAAGGTTATTTTCGACCGTTTGTGATGGCTCGGTGGTATTATTATCTGGGGTCATGCTCGGGGTCATCATCCCATGATTGCGCATAGATTCCACCAAGTTCTCTAATCGATGCTCGCGCATGGACCCGCCAGCAATCTCGCAGAAGTCTGGCACAAGGAGGTCAAAGCATTCGACAGTTTCACCGGGTGCTGCTGCTGTGTTGTGGTTCTCTGCGTCTGCCTTCATGTAGAAAGCTTTGATGTCTCGTGGATAGTTGGTGACGAACACGGGGCTATTGCCGTTGCCTACTTTCATAGCAATATATTTCTCATGCTCAGTGTGAAGGTCTTGGCCCCAAATAGGATCGTGAATAAACGGCGTCTCTGACTGCTTCAGCAGCTCGATAGCCTCTGTGTAGGTAATGCGCGGCCAAGCTTCTCGTACGAGACCATCCCAACGCTGGGAAACTTGTTCCGCTGCGACCAGATCCGAGGAGCTCTCACTTACGCGTGCTAAGATGTCATTCTTAACTCTCGATCCGGCCAGATCGGTGCAGACATGTCTTAGCATATCCTCAACAAGGTCCATTACGGAATCTAACTTGTCAGTAAAGCTTATTTCCGCCTCTAGCATGTAGAACTCGCTAAGATGACGCGGTGTATCACTTTTCTCTGCACGAAATGTTGGAGACAGAGTCCAGACATTACCGAGGGCTTGAGCTAGAGCTTCTAAATGTAACTGAGCTGACACGGTCGTATATACGGGGCGACGGAAGAAAGACTTTGGTGTCTCAGACTCTGGAGAGGATTGAGAAGGATCACCAGACGACACGCGGAAGACTTCACCTGCGCCCTCGCAGTCTGATGAGGTGAGAATGGGCGTGTGAGTCTGCACGAAGTCACGGCTGCCAAAGAACTTGATCAGGGATGCGATAATCTCAGAGCGAAGCCGCAAGACGGCCGAGTTGAACGGTATCCTCGAACGAAGATGGGGCATGGTCCTGAGGTATTCCGGAGTCTGGTATTTCTTCTGTATTGGAAACGTCTATGAGATGGTAAGCCATATCATGTAGAAACGTGAGGCACGACAGCCCAGGGATTCTAAGCTTGAACGAACCTTGCCGTCGGACGGTCCCAAGACTACGGCTCGTTCAACTTGCAACTCATGGCTCTGTCCGCGGCCTTTCGATGGAATCCAAGACCCGTGTAGTCGGACTGCCGCTCCAATATTTAGACTATCGAATGCATCATTAGCAATGGGTGGATATTGCAGAGGTCTGATTCAAACTTGGATCTCGTACCCTTCAGCCTGGTCAGCAGGTACTACAGCTTGGAGTGGTTCGAGAGAGGATCCATCGCCGAGAGAGACAAAGTGATATCGTTTCTGTGCACGGACAGACCTAACGAAACCATGAATATTCACATCTGAGACAGGTTCTTGCGGCTTAAAATTAAGAAGGCCGGCGATTGAACTAGGGACGGTTGAATTTGAAATGAAAGCGCGCGGTACTGTCCGTGATGAGAGTGAGAGCTTCAGGGGCAGGGCTCTGGGTGACGCTCTGGGTGACGCTCCTCTCAGAAGCGGAAGGATAGAATTCATCTCACACAATTTATTATGAGATGTTCGGGAAATTCAGATGATTCCGATTCATTCGTGAACATCATGGACACATATTAATTAAAACTGTTGTGTATTATGTGCTTCATCGCATGACATGTCTGTCTTCTCTTATAATTATAAAAAAAATGATGGAATGCCTTAGGTACCTCCTAAGGTATAAAAATCAGTCGTCAATTTTCGGAAAGCCAAGTTTATCCTTGACCGGGTTTAGAGCACAGACCACATATTTATTCATTTCCATTAGTCATCGCCATCGTCAACTGTCATATTTCTCTTGAAGCGGAACTTTGTCTTAATGAAGCCGTCTCGAGTTCCACCAAGCCTAATTTACGCGACCCCGTCTCATGCTCCGAAATATTCGTTTTATTATTTTTTTCTTTCACAGAAGGGCCGTCGCTGGTAGGTATGCTGTGAAGTTGCTCATCGCCTATTTTTGATACCTATAGGTAACTGAAAACACGGTTAAAAGATAGACTTATTAGGTATTCAGCTCATCGACGACACCAATATTACAGGATTAAATAGGCAGGGAGATACTCGATATAGTTGTGTGAGCGACCCCGGCGTAGATCGTGATTGTCAAGTTCCCGTCACAAGGTATGCACGCCAATCTCTGACGAATAGAGAAGACTCAGTGTTACTATTTATCTATATCCGGTGATGCCGTCGAGACGGGGTTCCCGTGTTTATTATGCCAGTTAGTTTTGCTTCTCCGGTGAATTCTCGCCCAAGGGGCCTTAACAACGCCCCTTATTACCTACTAAGCTACTTGGTACCGAAACCCGTTCACAATCATCTAACTATACAAACAAGACGTAGGTAGTCAGTCAGTCAGTCGGTCAGTCGTCTTGCTTATTGCAGCATCTACTCGCGAACGCTCAACTGCAGTAAGACGGCTAGTAGATTTCATCACCCGTTAAAAATCGTTTCGTCCGCAGGGGTTCTACGATGCTGCGGGCTTAGGAGTACCAGATCTGTCCGACTTCGGTTATCTGCAGTGCGCCCTGATCTTCGACTGGAACAGCGATTCCATCTACCTGGGAGCCGAGCTGTATCACAAAGACAGATGTCTAATTCTCCCAACCTACCGGAATACCAAGCTGGTAAAGACGGCGCGGAAGCGCTGCGGTGGGTTTATATTATGAATAGCGAGCCTCTTAACCTATTGTCTGAATTCACTTCATCTCAATGTCTAGGACATAGTGGACTCGATAAGAGGCAATCATCTTGTATTGGTAACACAAGAGTTTCTCCCGTCCTCTGCCCGCCGTTGACCTGACTGGGACGTGCCTGATACTTCTGATACTTCTTCTGATACTTCAGCGTGAATATGACTCCCTTCCTATTCGAGGCTATCAATGTAGGTAGATGGAGCAGCTGCATCCCGTCTCGTCTTTCATATATTCTTTCATATAAAACGATATCGAAGCCCGGCTACTCGAATTACATCTTCGTCGCCGATTAAATCACTTGTCCATACCGACTCTCTGCTGTTCTACTCGACGGTTAAGTCCTCTTCATAATAATGCCTTCTTCAAAACCTAAGCCTTCCGAAGTTGCGGCGGAAACGAAGCGACATTACATCCCGGTCATAAGAGCGGAATACGCCCGCCAATGGCCAACCCATTCCTATCTGTTCCAACAGCCGCTGGCGCAGATTCCGCTCCAGAGCTCAATCAGCGGCTTTTCTCCATCCCCTCCGGAATTTTGTACATATAACCTTGCCGTAAATAATATCTACACTCCCTACTCTAACATGCTTATGCAGATGTTTGCTCGGGGGATCCTGTTGACTTTGCCATTGATTGGAAAGAGAAGGTAAACATTCGGATACCATTTATATGCGCGGCGAATGACAAGAGAGCTGGCGGCGACTGGGAGACCGGTGTAGTGAGTTTTCCCTCTTTTACTCTTTTACTTTTACATAACTACGGCGACTACCTATGATTTACTTTACTTATACGCTTACTTATGTACCAGGTGGGATATGAAGAACGACTCTGTAGACGCAGTAATCTCTCAGCAACTCTTAGCACCCCTGGTCCCGGATCTGACGTTGAGAGCAACTATCCCATCCCGTCAGAAGGTGGTATCTACTCCGAGTTTGTTGTCGTATTCCGCGGGCCACACGACCAGTACAAGAAACTAGACCAATGGTACGACCTTCCAGTAGTCTCGATGCCGGCGGCGCGCTGGCCAAAGCTGAGCCACGGCGGTTCCAAATATGCATTCCCGCTGGAGCGCGAAATGGTCAGGAACAAGATCCGCGCCGCCCTGCGCATCTGCGTCTACTACGAACATCGGACCGTTGTTATCGGCGACTTCGGCCTAGGCAACGGCCACCGCAACCCACCACAGGAGCTCGCAGAACTCTGGCGCGAAGTGTTCCTCTACGACCCGGATATTCGTGGCCGCTTTGACTACGTCGCCTTCGTGTTTGAGGATCAGTACCAGAGCACCGCGAAGCTGATCCTCGACGACATTGCCAAGAAAAGCAGGGGCAGCAGTGGTCACGGGCACAGCCATAGTCACAGTCACAGTCACAGTCATAGTCACCATTCCAGCAGCTCGAAGAGCAAGTCGAAGGCATCCTCCAGCTCGAGCTCGAGCACCAGTACCGGCTCTGCATCGGCGCCGAGCGACTTCGAGATATTCTCGCGCGTCTTCGACCCCAGCGAGATCCAGGGTGTCATGAGTCGACCGGATCCCCGATACGGCATCTCTATGCTTACATCGTGAAAAAGGAAAGGAGAAAGTTCTAACACGTGCGGGACGTTGAGTCCTCGTACGTCATTACACAGCGTCGAGTGTTATACGAACCCGTGTGGGTGGATTCAACAACCCGACGATCCGGTCGTATACCGGATTTTTTTTCAAGTCAATTCATCATCAATTCAAGGGTTGGGAAATTTTGATTATTTATCTTTTGGAATCGAGTAATTGTGTGTGAGTCTTTGGATAGGTATAAAGAGTAAAGAGCCGGTTGTCATGTCAATTTTTCATGTATTCTAATCACTTTATGCTACGTTCCCTGTTTCTATCACATAATGATATATCATAATATCATCTTGAATAATCTCCTATTATTCATTACGACGCACCTTGTATTCCGGTTTTTGATATTTCCTGGCACTGCACCGAGGTCATCAGGACTGCGGTTTTTGATTTTGTAACATATCAGGTACTGCACTGGATGCATACGCATATAGCTCTAAAAGGGAAAAGGCTTACTTCCGTTATTAGGAGCAAGTCGATCTTCTTACGTTCTCGACCGTGAACGTCTTCATGTGATAAAGGGGATCGGCTAAGTCCGATTGAATCACGATCCAAACAAGCCCCTCAGAAATCATAGACATGCAGCGCGCAGGCACTATCTATTACATATGAAGCTCGAGTCACACGGATCTTACACCAATTCAAGATGTGGTAGTTATTTACGATACCAAAACTGGGTAATGTAAGTGAAGCTTAGAGTATCCGACGCCACATATGCTACCCTGCAAATCTTGATCATATATCACATTAAACTATCATGTAAGCAAACGCCAAACTCGCATGGGAGTGAGACCGGTGAAGGTGTGGGGGTACTGAAAGAAGCCTTTCTTTTTCCTTTTCAACGTTGGCCGGGTCTGGGCTCTCGTCATGGAACCGTCAAAGCATAATCATGAGGCTTATATGGCGTGCGGCTACAATTTCCCAGATGTATCCAAAGGACCGACATGCCAGCATGCTTAAATTCTGACCGGTCTCCCAAGATAATATCGGATCTGGGTATGAGAATAAAATGTAAGTGGCCAAAGGTACAGCTTAAGATCTACTATCTGGACCTGGACCTTGATATTGTATGTGATGTATGCGCAGCCACTGGACGTCCGGCCATGGGATATGCATATCCGGTACTGTTACATTTACGCCATTTCCGGGGAGTATCGGGCGTCAACCTTGGAGAGCACAGCGTTAATTTCATATGCGGGCTACCTAATATCCTAGCCCTCGCTCGAATGTCTTTCCTTCCTAAATCAGGTCTAGGATAATGCGCGCAACGTTTCCCGGTCTAAGATAGGCGTGGCCGATCCTATTACCTATATTCTATCCATGTGAGTTGAGCCTCGCCCGTGAAATCTTTACTCCTCCGGGTGGTAGGCAAGCATCTTCTAACCACTGACTACCTAAGATTAATAAGCGCCACAGAATCCTAAAGATATACTCCAGCTGTAAGGCGACAAGGGATCAAGTATAGTATCAGGTTTTAAGAGTTGGAGTTGCGAACAGGCACACGCATTTCCGGATGCTCGCATTTAGGTACTGGAGAATTTCGAAGGGGTTTTTGATTGGAGCCCAGTATGTAGGTATAGCTGTTTAATCGGCAGCACACGCGATATTGGTGACTACAACTTAGACTTCTCCGAATGTATGTCTGAGAAGCCCTGTGCGTTCCCGAGTCCCAGAACTATAGCTCGGATCCAAGCGCAAGGCACCGAAACATCTGGTTTCTGGTTACGCCATTGAAGAAATTGGGCAATTACTTGCGATGGGAAGAAAACTTGAGACTTTCCCAAGTTCTAGAAGGCAAAGGAATATTACGAATGGCTGGTTCGGTATACCTAGTAGGATGGTCTTGAAAATAATGTATATAGCGGGACAAGCTTCGGCAGCCCTGAGAAGGCCTGGAAGTAGTCCAAAACCACTAATGCGGTTTATAATAAATCACGCCTCGTATTCCCCAAGGGATTCGACGCCATTGAACATAGCCGGTCTGTAGAGCTGGATAGTACCCGATTTAACAGGATCACTAGTGCAATTAAGAAGGAACATATGCTAGTATATGTTTGATTAGTAGGTGTGTGAGGCTGGCTGAAGTGTGCAAAGTCATCTACCGGTACAGTCAAAAGTTCTCTTTAATCACCTAGCGTGAGGCGTGATATGGTCCAAGTGAAGTCCTCTCCTTTGCGATTATGCATTTCTCGACGCGTAACGATATTGTGGCTGGCTGCATATGAAATGACGATGACCACTGCAAAGCTGACTTGGTAAGTACCTAAGATATCTACTCTAACTTGTCAAGTTCCAGCTATTAGGAGATAATCGCGAGAATGCATTGTCTTAAAGTCGAATGCAATGGAAGTGTAGGTCAATAATACCCGTAAAGCAGTATCCTGGACGTTCGATTGCCGTCCGCAAACACCAAGATTCGTTCGGGTTAAACAAGGCTCACGGCCGTTACAAGCCACTGGAACGGGCTGGAGTAATCGGCTATTTTCAGATGTCTTGGATTGTACTTCCGCTGGGTTGTTTGCTTGGCTGTGATCACAGGCGAGATGCAGGGAGTTTCGGCCGAAGTAAGATTCTTCTCATCCTCACTAGGAAAGACGCACAGGTGTTTTTCATGAGACGGATTTGCGGAAAATAAAAAAAGTGGTGACTTAGAGATTGGCATGTCTTGATGTCTTGATCGGGGAGGTTAGGTGACGCGGATTTACATTGAAATCACACTAAAGTCAACTTGGAGAACAGGCTCGTCGTATGGTAGAGGCTTGACACCGTTTCCATATTGTGAAAAGCATGACCTGATGCCGATGCGGTGGAACCTAGAGGCCGAAATACTCGGATGCACTCCGGGTATCAGAGTCGATTCCTTTTCGAGGTCTCGGTCTAAGGTTAGGCACACCTTTTGAACTCTAGGCCCGTAGGTTCAAATCTATCTGTACACATGGCTGTTGATATTTGGGTAGGTACCCTACCAATACTGCGGCCTCAACCCTTGAAATGTTGACGCCAGGGAAGCATGATCATCGCCCTCCTTTCGTCTTTGCCCAGCCAACTACATCGAGCAATGTTAGCGAATGTCCTCCATCCACCTCTAAAGTACCAGCTAATTCCACCAGAACTTTCAGCCTATCGTAACGTAAGGGGAATAAGAAATCAACTTACCTCAAGTTGCACGCCCTTATGTATATGTACTAACCAGTCTACATAACTCTGCGCGTCATTGTTCCGATCTTCAATTAGCATTCTTGCAAACTCATACTCTGCCCCGTCAATTCCTTGCCTAGCTAGCTGAATCGTCAGCGCCTTGGAACCGCGCATGACTTTAAGGAACTCGATTATGTTCCGGACCTGGGCGTTTAGGTGTGTCTGTAGGATTGGTAATGAAGAGCTATACGGGTCGAGTTTATTGAGGCTATCTTTGCCTTCTCCGAAGAGGTCTACTAGTAGATTGGGTGATGTCTGAGAGTGGAACCATAATAAACATTGTTGCCCATTATCTACCAAGTATACGCCGCCTGGCTCGACTCGGCTGAAAGATGTACGGATGGCTGGAGGAACCTTCAAATAGCCTGTTTGTTCGTCGGGAAATCCATCCTCTGGATTCAGGTTGTGAATGGGTATCATTCTAGGGTATAGGTACAGGCTGAGCTCTGGAGCGCCTATTGACCTAATCATGCGCATTTCGTGTACCCTCCGGTCAGATGTTTCGTTGCCTCCCTTGAATGCCCGGCATTTAAGAAGCCCAAGCATGTACATTGAGAACTCCTTAAGTTTCTCCGGCATAACAAGTTGTCCGGGAGGATGCGATTGGGACGAAAAATTCTTGCGATACCCTGCTAATATATCAATCGTTTTCTCCGTTAATCCTAGTCTTATGTCTTTGAGGGTGCTAGACGTCGAGGCGAGTTTAGAAGCAGCGTCCTTGGCGAGAATCGTGTAGACAGAATCTTGGTCTACGAATTTCATACATTCTCGAGGGTTGTCGCTAACGCTAGCGATCACGTTGCAACACCTTACTCGCCGTTGGCCTGATGCGGTTGTATATAACAAGGCGGATTGGAAATGGGCATCAAGCTTCGAATCAAGCTTCCCATCATAGCCAAACGTTACGCCTACAGCTTTGTCGGCATCTATTACACCTATTTCAAGATCGGCCCCAAAGGTATGCTGTATGAAGTTGCCATGGTACGCGGAGATTTGAAGACCATTGGAGCATCGAACTTTCATCAACGCTTGATAACCTGTTTCCCTTGTGACAGTGTGTTTTATTTCAAGGGAGAGCTTGGCATTATCGCGACCGGCCACGAAGTTGGGGTAGTAAAACGTCTCTCCGCCTGTCGTAGATGAGACATGACCTTGGGCGCGCGGTTAGCTACAATGATGATAGAATCATGTCTCGTATGTAAACTTACCAATAGTAGCTACGTCCAAATATCCACCCGATGGAGCAGCCAAAAAGAAATCAATACCAACTCCGGCCGCAACCATCTTCTCCGCAGCTTTCCTCCATGCGGGATGTTCGGTGGAGAAAAGTTTCTTATCTATTTCACCACCAGGATATTTCCCGTCGTCTCTCATAAAAAGCCGTCCGGGGCCCCATGTAGGTAAAGCCGATAACGAACATACAATCTTGCCTCCGGTCTTTTCCAGCGCAGCCAAGCATGATGTCAATGTCGGCAGTAAAGCAGGTTCCGGATTTTTTATATCTGCAAATAGCGTCGGTAATCGCGTAAGTAACGACGTGATAACAGCCCTGGATTCATATGGGTCAACGAAGAGCCCATCACTAAGCGGTACAAACGGGTCTTCGATGTCGGGCATGATTATCATCTGTGCCTGTTCAAGAGCGGGCTAACTAATGGTTAGGGATACTTCTTGCCAACAAGTCCACCGGATACTCACATTGCAATTATAAAAATGTATGTCCTTGTCGTATGTGACAAACCCGACCTTTGCACCAGCTGGAATTCGTCGTTTCGGCTCACCGCTCTCATCTGTCTCGTCATTCTCTTCTGAAGTGTAGAGCGCGGCAAGAATACCTTCGCAGAAAGCCTCTAAAAAGCCCTTATTATATGATTCCTGAGTAACATCAATCGCAAACAGCCAATGGAGACCTGTCGGCTCTTTCGTCCAGTACTCCTTAGGTACCAAGAATTCGACTGTTCCCCTTGTCAACTCGGGTCGCTGATCTCGATCTACTCTTACACCCTGAGGCGTAGTTGCGCAAAAATATTCCGAGGGGGTATCATTAGGGTATGTGCATAGATTGCACACGAATTTGCTGCCCCCTGAGCGAAACATCATGAAAGGGTTAATATAGGCACGACATCTATGACACCTCGGCGGCCCCACATCACCAAAATCGAGTACAGGGACCTCCATCTCACCGGGCTGAAGGCGAGCTAGTGGTTGCAAGACGAGACCTAGAGGCAACCCGGTGCTTTTTAGGCCTTCCGCGTTGGCTGGGATATTGTTCATTGTCAATCGAGTAAACTTGGGCGAGGAATTGCCTTGGTCATAGGCAACGAAGGAGACGGTAGCTGGAGGAGGCACATGACGCTCAAACGTCGGGTATACATTGCTCAGGTAGTATTGTTGTGCCACGTCTCTGGAAGCCGGCACACTGGGAATCTCGTCTGCCGAAACTTGCCCTCCACCTGATGCCGGCACGAATGTAGGCGCATGGCCCGGATCTATCTGACTATTTCTCGCAGCAAATTCAGCAGGTGTCGCTGGGGCTGCGGGGTGGAAAGGGGTATTGACGGGCGCCGGGAACTGGTTTGGCGAAAGAGGTTGGCCAATAAACTGGTTACCGGCTTGTACAGATGGGTCTGCGTTCAAGAAAGCCGTAGCCTGTGTCCCTGCTGGTGGTATACCATTATATGCCTGAGAAGAGCCAGCCGGCGCCTCGACAGAGTGAAAGACGTGGCGGTCCTTCTTTTTTCTCCTTACCGTCTGCTGCCCGTCTCCTAACGACATGCCTGCCATTTGCGAGGCGAGGCCTGCATCTTGCGGAGCCGCGAACCCAGGTGTACCAGGGACAGGCGGTGGTGGGCTTCCATAATACTGCTGGCTTTGGGGGGCGGGAGAGCCGTAGGCAGCGCCTTGTTGGTAGGGATTCTGAGCAACGGGAGGCTGAAATTGAGGAGGGGCGGGTTGACTTGTTCGGTTGGGGTCATTGGGATCAAGCTGCTCACCCTGCCCCAATGCGTGATACATAGAGTAATCAGCCATGATGGAGAACAGCTAGATGTCTAACCGGGTATTTCTTCGTAGACCAGATATTATGTAGGCAATTTAATGCGGCGTACCTCGTCGCATACGGGTATTTCGAGATGTAGTATGGTTCAATTCGGGGTTCGGCAAATCATGAAGATCGGAAATGTTCCATGGTATAGGTCTCGTATATCTTGTATATAGGGGACAACGCGTAGCTTTAGCTTTAAATACCTACCTAAGGTACCTAGCTGTAGCTGTATACTCGGTGAGGCGATTGGCGATTGATGATTGGCGATAGGGTGAAGTAAACAGGAAAGCAAACTGTTAGTTATGGATCCGTTTGCGACCTTCTGTCCCTGTCTCGTCTTGTTCTTATGTATGATCACAGTTGGAATTGGCATCTGAAATCGAAGCCAAGATAGGACGGCGCATGGAACGGAGCCAGGGGCCGTTGATGGATGGAATTATTGAATTATGGAATTGACACGATAACATTCCGGTGATTTTCCGATCATTTTTCTGCTTTAGCTTTGGGGGATCTATCGGGCATTTGCCCCACAGGCGGGTTCCATACCCCACCTACCTAAAAGAGGCATTTGCTATATTTAGGTATGCCGTACACGTACAAAGACGTTGGTGGTTCATGCACTTACATAGTAGGTTACCTAATTAAATCGGTTTAGTCCAACTGTATTATGTTTGTATTGCAAGCTCTGATTGCTTTCTTCTTTATAATTAATAGTTTGACATTTTCAATAATTTTGCCCACATGACACAACAAACTTGGAGGCATATTTGATCCCAGCCAGGTAGTCTCTAACTCAACTCTTTGACTCAATTATCATATATCGCGCTTTACTCAAGTGATCCTTCTTGAGAAGCATGGATCGCGACAGGAGCTTCAGTACGTGTGACGAAGCGGTTAGGGTATATTGAAGATAGAAGACCCTAATATATAAATGCTCTTTGTCTGGTGGTAATTTCTGGGATCATTCCCTCATCAAACAAACTAACAAAACTTAACAGTTATTTATTAGTTAATTATACTACTTAAACTTATTCACTCTCTAGCAATCATGGCATCCCCCAGAGAAACCCTGCTGACTAAGTTTGAGGTCTGTCTCTACAAGAAACACGATATCTCATATGAAGACTTTGTGGAATGGACTACCAAAGTGTATCCTCCAAAGGCAATCTCCATCATAAAAAAGCACGGCATTGTCAAGTGGGCTCAGGTAAGCACATCTAGAATTAGATATCTACCTAGCTTTGCTCCTATATAATAACTTATTGCTGATACCAAAGTATTCACCCTCCGAGCTAGATCGTAACCCCGCCTACTTTCCGTGAACCCTTTCGCCAAACTCTGAAAGACATGGGCCGTCTAAAATGGACTGCTCCCGATTATGATCTCGTCATGTCAGTTTGGCTGCGTAGCATCGACGATATGCTTGCCTTATATAAATATCCTAAGTGGATTGAGCTGGAAGAAGAGGCCGAGTTGTGGTGTAATGTGACTATAGGTCACTCTGTCATCGGCCATGAAATCGCCCAAATCTAAGGAGGCGTCTGAACTATTGGGCCTTAAGAAGTAAACTTATCGGTATTGTGGACTCTGCATTTTTAGTTCTTATCACTTGAGTGTCATTTAAGAATGAATATATCTTATCTCATTTTCAAAGGTTGTAATGGTGTTTGGAACATTTCATAACAATAATTTAAATATTATACAGGCATTGAAGTTAAGTACCTAGGTTAAGTATCTTCATATTATTTATAGTTGCATGTGCTTAAACCGTGCCTGCCCGTACTTAGGCGTGACTAATTCGACGCGTACCGTACCTGCACAGATGTAGCTTAGCTTATCAGCCAAAATGGGCAACAAGCTGGAACCTTAGCGGCTGCTTAGATAACACAGGTAATAATTGACTTGGTACAATACCGCGAATTCAAAGCATTCCAATCTTCCTTTGTACCTACAACATACAACATTTTTCACTTTCCTCGGATTGGCGCAAACCTGCATCGCCAATAAACCATCGACCATCCGAGCACCAAGAGTGCTAGAGAATCATCTATTAGGCCTCCTAGTACGATGACGCAGTCATGTTTACCTTTAGCTCATTACAGGGAGCGCTATCAGAATCAGCCGCGTCGCAATCTATCCTTGAGCTAGATGGAGGTATAAAGGTTTTAGTTGATGTCGGCTGGGATGAGTCCTTTGACGTCGCCAAGCTTAAAGAACTAGAAAAGTATTCTAACCCACTACTCCTAAAACTGTGATATTATTATTATTAACTGGATGACGGAGAACTAATATTTTGCTGCCTATAGACAGGTGCCCACGTTATCCCTAATTCTTCTAACGCATGCCACAACAAACCACATTGCCGCCTACGCGCATTGTTGTAAACACTTCCCCCGTTTTACATCGATTCCAGTATATGCGACATCTCCTGTCATTGCTCTAGGTCGCACCCTACTTCAAGATCTTTACGCCTCTACTCCCGTCGCCGCCACCACGATATCTTCTACTTCGCTCGACGAGGTCTCGTATGCAGCTCAACAATCCTCTTCCGACATACTTCTACAAGCTCCCACACCCGAAGAGATTGCAACGTATTTCTCCCTAATACATCCTCTAAAGTACTCTCAACCACACCAGCCACTCGGCTCCCCATTTTCCCCTCCCTTGAATGGTCTGACAATCACGGCGTACAACTCGGGTCGAACCCTTGGAGGCACCATATGGCATATACAACACGGGCTGGAATCCATCGTATACGCCGTAGATTGGAATCAAGGACGCGAAAATGTGTTTGCCGGAGCGGCCTGGCTAGGTGGAGCAGGAGGTGGAGGCGCTGAGATTATCGAACAGCTACGAAAGCCGACTGCTCTAGTATGTAGTAGCAGAGGGGGCGAGAAGACGTCTATCGCTGGGGGCCGGAGCAAGCGAGATGAACAATTGTTGAACAAGGTCAAGGCCTGCACTTCAAGAGGAGGTACCGTTCTAATACCTACTGACTCGAGCGCTCGGGTCTTAGAGCTGGCCTACCTAATGGATCATGCGTGGCGAGCGGACGCGGCAACGGGCGACGGCCAGTTAAAATCCGCCAAACTTTACCTTGCGGGGCGCAATATTCACAGTACTATGAGATATGCCCGTAGCATGCTCGAATGGATGGACGATGGCATCGTTCGAGAATTCGAGGCCGTAGTCGACGGCTCTAGGCGAGTCAATGGCACAACGGATGGCGCCAAGTCTGGTAAGGAAGCTGGCCCTTTCGACTTTAGATACCTGAAGCTGCTGGACAGAAGCGGCCAAATCGAGAAGGTCTTCGGTGGCGAAGCCGACGAAAGTTCTACGGCCGGCAGGGTCATCCTCGCAAGTGACTCTACACTGGAGTGGGGGTTCTCGAAAGACATACTGAAACGGATTGCGCAGGACCCGAAAAACATGGTTATCTTGACAGAGTACCCATCCTTAGCATCGGAGACACGTCCGTCTTTGGCGAGGAGTCTCTGGACATGGTGGAAAGAAGGTCAGGAACGCGCAAGTGAGGTCTCGGATGGCACAAACGCGCGCGAGCTCGAATTTACGGATGCGAAGAGGCAACCCTTAGAAGGTAACGATCTCGTCATTTATCAGCAATGGCTTGCACAGCAGCGTCAGCTTCAAACTACTCTTCAGAGTGGAGGGGCCAATGTGCTTGAAGCGACAGGGGATGTAGGCGATGAAGCATCCGAATCAGAGTCAGAGTCAGAGGATTCCGATAATGAGCAACAGGGCAGGGCTTTGAATGCCGCGACTACGATGGGCCAGGCTAGTAGGAAAAAGGCCGCTCTGACAGACGAAGATCTGGGTATCAACATATTACTAAAGAAGAAGGGCGTTTATGATTTTGACGTAAGAAATAAAAAGGGTCGAGATAGAATGTTTCCACACCCAGTTCGTCGAAAGCGTGCCGACGACTATGGGGAGCTTATCCGACCGGAAGACTTTCTAAGGGCAGAAGAAAGGGATGATAACGACGGCCAGGACCAAGCACAGATGGGAAGAGACGAAGATGAAGAGAAACTTGGAAAGAAGCGAAAGTGGGATAACGCCGCAACTTCCGGTAAAAACCAGGGTTCCGGTCCATCTAAAAGACCACATCTTACTCGTAACATTACCGACGAGTTTGAACCTGCATTATCCGATGGTCCTGTCGAAGATGAACTCGATGGAATTCCCGACGATCCAGACGAAACAAACTTGGGCCCGTCGAAACTAGTGTTAACAACGGAGTCCGTTGCTATCAAGCTAGAAGTCGAGTTTATTGACCTCAGCGGTATTCATGATAAGCGAAGCTTGCACATGTTAATTCCCCTGATCCAACCTCGAAAACTCATTCTCATCGGCGGAAGCGAAGGAGAAACCTTGACGTTGGCTTCGGATTGTAAGCAGCTATTAGCCGAGGGCTCCGTCAGTATATACACGCCAAACGTGGGCACGACTATCGACGCGAGCGTTGACACGAACGCTTGGGTGGTAAAGTTGGCTCCCTCGCTTGTAAAACAGCTCAAGTGGCAGAACGTTCGTGGATTAAGCATCGCGACAGTCACAGGACGACTGCTCGCAATGTACAAGGAGCTAGCTATTGGACGCGACGAGGAGGCCGCGAACAAGCGCCTAAAAACTGAGGACTCGACGGAAGCTCCAGTCGAAGTAGCAGAGGAAGAAGCTGTCGAGCCCATACTTGACGTTCTTCCAACCAACATGGCCTCGGCGACACGGTCCGTTGCCCAGCCTTTACACGTAGGAGACTTGCGACTGGCGGATCTGAGAAAGGCTATGCAGCAGTCGGGTCATACAGCAGAGTTTAGGGGCGAAGGCACGTTGTTAGTCGATGGGTCAGTAGTGGTGCGGAAGACTACAGCAGGGCGGATCGACGTGGAAAGTATCGGTCTCCCGACAGATGGCGGCCCCGCTACGCAGCTCGGTGGCACTTTCTACGCCGTAAAGAAGATTATCTACGAGAGTTTAGCCGTGGTTGCCGGTGCTTAATCAATCGGGGCTCGGGGCACGGGGCACCACTGGGGTTTAATGGACGTCACGTGTATGACTACCTTGTAGGACTAAATAAGCACAAGCGCCTGGCTTTTATAGCACTCGCGTCATTTAATAGGCGATGGAATAGAATTACCCATACTGCATTGATTTTTTATTTTTCAAGTGATACCGCTTACCTATGCGTTGATTGTCACAAGGCTCCCTTTAAGAGGTATCTTTATAAGTAAAGATTATTACAAACGACCATCGGTCACCTCGTCGTGACTTTGAATCTTAAACTCCCTGGTCAATATAGATGGTCCTCCTGGAGAGAGAAGACTATCATTTTATTTATATTAATCCGGCAATTGAATATGTGAAATGGACTTTGTGCTATCGAGCCCCCTTTCAGCCTCCCCTTTTCGAGCTTGATATACAAAGTACCGCTTTGAGGATACTTGCTCTCCACGATGACTATTTTGAGATGACAGGGAGTACCTTGATTCAGTCGGAGAATTGCAGTTTGCCAAAGCTTTAACGAGCATATGTTCTACCGCGTTAATTAAGTTATCTGGGACTTATTTAAGGTTATAGTCGAGACTAAGATAGAAAGATAAAAATTACCTACTAGTACTCTAAGCTATTCCTTCAATAATTACATATGAATTTTTCAGCGTATAGTTGGGCTAGGTTAATCGAATTCGTACGCTCGTGGCTACGGCACCGTCCCTGGATTCGAGTTGTTACCTACGCTACAGAAGTTTATCATGCTACCTCAACCTGATCGGTTGCTATTTACAATGATCCTTATAAATAATGCTGTAAGTACTATTAAAAAGGCAATGTCATATATAAAGTAAAGCGATGAACCCTCCGTTATGTCTTGTAAAGTATACGTCTCGAAGCTAAAGGTGGCGAATAGGTGTGTATTTTTTTGAGAGAAGAGACAAGTCATAAGTTTCGATTTGAAGTTTCGAGATATTATGGTAGGTATTTAATGAACTGCTAAGTTGGTGGTTTAGTATTAAATAGGGTTCGAACGTTCTTGCTACTACCTACTCCTAGTTATTGCTGCTCACATACGTTGGACTTGCTAGGTATCTATTTTATTTTATATTTTTGCAAGCCATTAGACCTTTAGAGACTGATATGAATTTTATTTTTCCTCCCTATTGCCATGTTATCTCGTAGAGTAAGCCCTAGCCTATTTATTGAAGCTTGTTTTTGGCCCAATGATAATATTCCAATGGTTTGGGTTGGATTGCCCCTTTTTTTCATTAGTATCACTGTTCCTTCAAGTATTCCTGACTCTATGGGTTAGATTTGGTTCAGTATCTTCTACCATGGCATATTCTAGGTAGGTACTGTAGTACTCGACTATTTGGTTCCTTTCCATATTTTGTCGATTCCCTAGAATACTTACCTTGTACCGCCCAACTGGTTTACTTCCACCTGGCAACCTTCCTGTACTGATGCCTATCTACTTTATCATTCTAACATCTCATTGTGCATTGGCCACTTAGATACCTAGGTACAATACCTATCTGATCTGTATTATACTGCATCTACTGCCAGGGAAGGTGCGAAGCCGCTGCCGGCTGCTAATAGTTTATTACACCTTCCGTTGTCGTTGTCGTATCTTAGCAACGCATATTTAATCAACCCAAAGGCATGGGGGAAATAACTCCTAGCACTTGTACTCGTAACGAGATATCGCACCTTCCTCGTCCGTGAAATATTTCGCACTTGCCGTTCTATTATTTTCACCACAGTCACTGCCGGCCTCATCGACTTTTCACCACCACCCAAATCAAACGTACCTAAGGCATCTATTTATTCACGTCGATATCTACCGATCTTACCCTTTTATGTTCCCTCTTTCATCTTCTAAGAGACGCTTTAATTTGTGCGCGTGAATTTCTTCGTTTTGCGTTCCTACCGTTCGCAATAAAGGCTCTCCCGTCTTGTTCGTCGCCGATACTCTATTTTACCCTCTTGACAACAAGACACTTCGTCTTTCGGAAAATCGTTATTCGCGTCCACCTATAACGTGTCTTCTAATACGCGTTACACTTCGTGTCCCGTAAAGGTTCGTTATTTGGATCTACCTAATACTTACCATGATATCGCGTCGCAGACGGATACCCATCTAACTGTTGAATATAGGCACCGCACTAAATCTCATCTTCGGAACAGTGTTACTCTGGATCTAGTTAGCAACAATGTCGCTACCGTTGTTCCCAAAGTACGGAGAGCTTATCCCCGAGTTGAAACTCGAGATCTGGCGCCAGGCCTCGCTCTCTCCTGGTGTCCATTACTTTCACGTCAAAACGCGGATAGATAATCTAGGCGGTCATGTCCGAAGAATCGAAATCACTCCTTCCGGTCAGGTAGACTCGGATCCCTCAGTATGGAGAGTTCGCGCCAACATTGCCAACATCGACAAACACTCATCGGATGTCACAAAGAAGCTTCTAGAAGGGCCATCAGCTAAGGAACTCTGGAGACCAAAGCGCGGAAAGAATCCCAGCGCTGTGATTGATTGCGATAATGATGTTGTCTGTATTCGGTTCCATGGTCCTATCTATAACCCACTGATTGGACGCTTTGTAGACTTCGACAAATTGTCGGGCATTAAGCGCGTCGCCGTCGAATACAAGAAAAATTGGACGCATGACGTCCCCTCGTACCGGACCTTGATCGACCCGATGTTCCACTGCCTATGTGTTAATCTGGTCCACAAAGTCACTTGTCCCAAAACTGTGGCAGACTTTATTCAATACTTTCCGGATATTGAGGTCTTCTACTTCATGGTCAAATTGACTAGCCCGAACATCAAGCCTCCCCCGCCGGCCCCAAGAGGAAAGAAGCGAAATCGACAGGGAGTTGTTAAGAAGGAAGGTGACCAGCAACCCGAGCCCGCACCGGCAGAATCAAGAACACGAACAAAAGCTGCACAGGTGATTTCAGAGACCTTCACCAAGCTCCGAGGTAGGTGCTTCTCCTTATTACACATTACGGGGGACGAGCAAAGCTAGGCTTCTATTATCTTATGTATAGAAATATGCTAATATGCCCGTGGTAATTCGCAGATATTGCAGAACGCAACAAACTCGAAACTTTTGAGGATAAGGTGAACACTTACTGCGAGGCACGAGAAGCCGACACGACTTGCCTCACCATGCACGATGAAATATGGGAGGTCTTTGGCGAGCTGAAGGACCTTTGGAGACTTATCAAACTTATCAAGACGAAAGTCCCGAGTCCCTACCAGCTCAGAGAGCCCGAACTTAAAGTCCTGGTCTACACTGAGTTGCACAAAAGGTAGCTGCTTTAAATACAAGGGTCTGCAAGAAGCAGCAATATGGGCGAATCTTTCACCATGACGTTTGATCACAGATAGATGGGGACGTATATATCAACCTCGTTGGTATCTGACATGCCATCATCTATCTAGTGGGCCGAGATCGGCGGTGCGAGAGGAAATAAATGTGGCTTAGCTGCCGCTGCTGATACTACTATGTATGTAGATCATCCTCATAGGAACAATAAAAATGCCTCGGTCATCTGAGTTTACCTAACTTATAACAACGAATAAGTCTTCATTCAAATAACTCCAATATAATTACCTACTCTTCCTTGTTAAATTCCTTATTTTTATTAATCTATCTATGTTATTCCTATCATGGCAGTCCGACGTGAACGGATTGTAGATGATTTACTACCCGCCGTACAGCTTGTATGATCTTCGTTAAATCTCCCCCTCCCCCTAATTGATTATGCGAATACATGCTAATTAATCGAACGACTTCCGGCACAGGCATTCCGGCATTCCCGGAGCAACATCATACAATCATGGCTTTACGTACCCTTTGGCATAATATTGATGCTGCTGGCCTGCTTTGGTGTTAACAAGCTATTCGGCCTTGGGTCCGTGCCTTTCCCCTCGTCGGTAGCTTGTCTCATTATCCTTTTTGCCGCGCTGCTGCTGTCCGAGCAGCTTCTCGGTGAGCATCGGACAAAGCGCATCGTTGCTATCATCGAGGTTCCGGTAACTTGAATCATTACTATTTTCATGGATACCCTTAGGTACCTAACCTAGGTATATACTGACGTTTCATCCAGGGCGGCTGGGCGCTACGATGGATAAACGTCTTATTCACGCCTTCGTTCGTCTTATTACCCCTGAGCCCGTCAATAGGGGGAATCGAGGTCCTTAAGATAATCGCAATCTTTGGTGAGTAACCAGAAATAAGCCCCGGGGCTATCGGGATCCAACTTACTAACTCAACGTAGTTATCGGGTTCCTCGTGATGATGGCTCTCGCTGCCTATATGACCCGGGCCTTACAGCTTATGCTCGGGTCCTCAAAGCGAGCTATGACGGAGCGAGCAGAGGAGCTAAGCCCCGATAGCGAAGAAATACCCATGGCAACGACCCCGGCTCACGGAGGTCATTCGACCCCTCGGTCTGACGAGGTGGACTTACAACGTCCCCTTCCATCTCGGGACGCCACCCAGGGGCATCAGGCGGACGACTCGCAGTCAAGCCGCACCCTCGTAGATAGCGACACCGACCGTCCCGACCTACCACCACAAGCCCCCGTACCTCCATCTAGATCAGACCGTTGGGCGGCAATTATTACCACCAGGCTAGATCTTCTAATCTGGAGCGTAATTTTCCTATTCGTGGGACTCCCGGTCTATTACGCCGCTGGGTACGCGATGCCGATGCACCTAAGCTTCAACATCCTAACGTATTTCATCGCCATGTCCCTCCCGGAGAATTGGAGACGGTACCTCCACCCGGTGTTAGTCTCGTCTCTGCTCACGGTCTTAGGCCTCTGGGCCCTTGGCCTTATCAAGGGCGATAGTCTCCCGTCCACCCTTGCTGCGTATAAGACGGGTATCGGATATACGGAGCTCTGGAGCGGGAGTCATGGCCTCCCCGGGGCCGGTAATCTGTTTGCTAGCGTGCTGGACGCCAGTATCATATCGTTTGCGCTGCCTGTATACCGATACCGGCGTGAGCTGAAGCAGCACTTCGCCTCGATTATAATTCCCAACGTTGCTATCTCCATCGGCTCGCTGTTCGCGTATCCGTATATCTGCTACGCTGTAGGCATCAGTGCTCGGCGTAGTCTTGCCTTTGCGGCCCGTAGCCTCACGTTGGCGCTCGCCGTACCGGCAACGGCTAACTTGGGAGGTGATTTGAACACCGTAGCGGCATTGGCTATTATGAGCGGGATCGTCGGAGTGCTGGTTGGTGAGCGTATGTTGGCGTTGCTTAAGATACCTCAAGGTAAGAGCATCCTTTTCGGATTTCACACCTCGTTTTATTCTCCGTATTTACCTACATTCCGGGAACCATACATACATATTCATGAGATAAGACTGACCGCTTCACTTTTGTAGACGACTACGTTACTCGCGGCGTAACGATGGGCGCCAATTCGTCTGCCATTGCAGCAGCGCTGCTCCTGCGTACCGATCCGCGAGCTGCCGCGCTGTCAATTCTTGCCATGAGCCTATTTGGCACTATCACCGTTCTCTTTACGTCCATACCACCGATAACAGTTGCAATCCAGTCACTAGTACAACTATAATCCCCGACACGAAGTTAGTAGCTGCTCCTGATGAAGCGTGGGCGAATTTCGTCGGTTTAAATTGATTCACTAACCTAGGTAATCATCACATACACATACGCAATCATACAGGGGGCACTCGAAAACGGATGGAAGCTTACTATATAACAGACATGAATTCATTTATCTAAGTTATTACTCCGTAAGTACCCGAAAATCTTACTCAGTTAACGGCACAGGAGGTTGGCTTCATAATAATAATAATCCTTATATCTGGCAAGCCGACTCACATGCAGCTCATTCTTTCTATAATTTTAAAATTTATCAATTTTTATGGCCTTAAATATTATATTAGGCTTAAGAAATCCTATCTTGCCATCATATATCTCATTTGACCTAAGAGTTAGTGCAGGGAAGAAATACCTTAATGAGCGTGATACCTCAATTGAAGGTAGATTGACCCCATATACGGTATTAGTTTGATATGTCTCGTAATCACTATCGACTACAATCCAATAATAAAACAACTCAAAGCTAGCAAGTGTTATTTATCATAGAAGCCTATAAGAAAAAAAAAAAGATATTGCTTCATACTCACCTCGCTGTCTCGATAGATCTAAAGCTAGCTAACGAAACCTCATACGACAGCGAGCCTGGCGAACTGCCAAGGCCGTAGAATAACATAGCGCGATCCAGCTCGGATGCACAATAAACTCATAATCCACTTAGCCATCGAATTACGGCGCCGTATCCGCATAAATATCAACTAATTAAGTTGAAACAGCCACGTAACATACTTAGTACATTAGGTAGTTAAGCCCAAAGCCTCCATCGTCATTAATAGAGCTGGCTGATAGCCCCTCAGCCCCTCCAGAGCTGTCTACATACGTGACATGCATACCTGTTAACCATGTATGACGTCACCCGTTGAATTTGCAAAGATATCCCGACTTACCCATCATCGGCAAACATCCTATCGTATTGCAATAAGCTCGGGGTATTATACCACGAGGGCTGAAGACGTAGGTTACATAGATCTACGCACTGGCTGTCCGATATGGACATCTGGACATTTAGCGTATTGAAAACTCACCCTCGCTTGTGTAGTGCAAACTTAGCTAAGGGACCAACTTCGGGCTGATAGGTGCCGGAGTTCTCTCGGGCTACGAAGCCCGTCCGGAAACGGCAACCGGACCGTCGATCGCTGCGGCGTTAGGTCACCGCCGTCGACGCTACCTCACTAGCCACTGTCGTCAGAAGCTGAAGATCCTCGAGCAATATTGCCCAGTAGAGTTGATGTCCCGCCCCGGCTCGACATATGGTGAGGCTTGACCCCAATTCTGCTCGTCGGGCCACGTCCCGGCTCTATTTACGTACGTACCATCTTGCCGTCCCAGCCGTCACGGCCGTTGTGGCAAGTTGTGGAGGTGATTCGTCGTCGGTGAGCGCTCATCCAGTCATTACGGAATAATAATCGATACAGAGCTGTTGTCCTCAGAAGACAGAAGATCTCCCCCCATCAACTGGTCTACTTAGGAGGTATGTGGCGGATGCGGATGACTGCCGGATGAGGAAAGTTTCCTACCTGATAGAGCCTTGTCATTGGCTATTGTGACACCCTGTTTCGGTCGGAAAGTCTCTTAGACTTGTGGCTCAGAAGTGGCAACTTTCCGTGTCTCAAACAATGATAGGTAATCCAACAATACCTTCTCTAGCGCCCCATTTCCCCCCTTTGACTATCCTATTGCGTCGAAATGATGTGGCTAGTGATCGCAGCGATACTCGACCTCGTCGCACCGGCATCGCCCAAAGAGGGAATCACCCCAGGGCGTGATACAATAATATGTGGCTCATCGTCTTATGCTAGTCCCGTGGCGATAGTAAGCTCTAACATAGATATTTTCTACCATGCCCCTGGATTGTATCGCCTCCTTGGCGAGCGTCTTCAGAATCAAGAATCATGATTGGTTCCGGACTCTCTACCGGTTGGCTAACGGCGGCCATGGTTCCTGCAGAGACCGTAGCGAGCCATCGGTGGCGATCGTCGGGCAGCATACAAAATTGCGCTAGATGGACAATCTACCGGTGCTGGGAATGCCTTCGCTTCCGTACTTCGACCTCCCTGACCAGCTGAAATGAGCACCTCGCTAAGTTCTCATTGGATCCAGGCCTGGATAAGACATGCATATGTCGTAGATTACGACTCCACGTGGTATGAGGAGGCCTCCTTACGTTGTCTAGATCGGGCTGTTCACGAGAACTTTGTGTAGACGTCTTATGTTCCCGGAAAGTCGCATGGGCGTGGAACCACTAGTCGATAAATCTAATACCAGATGGAAGACAGCGAGGATCACCTGCGTTAGAGCTGGCACGATATACTTCCAATGCACTGCCGCCGACCTCTAAGCATGATAGATGATAGAATTTAAAATACTCCCTCGCTTGCATAGTTTTCGCCACCGGTCGGCTCCGGTATGCTCGATCCGGATTCGCGGGGAGTCCGGGAGTTGTTGTCGGGGGGTCAAGCCTCCCGTAGGTCTAGAAGAACTGTGGCGAGTGAAGCCCCCCCTGAGTGCCCGCTGTTGTCGCTGTAAGTACCTGTACTTGGACCGCTGAACAGGCCATCTTCTCAATAAGGTACCTATAGACGGGGGTCTAGTTCGCAGCGCGTCACAGTTGCATATGCAGGACCCAATGAACCCCAAATCACAAGCTGTAACGGTACTGTATTCTCTTCCCACGCGCTACAATAATTGCTTTTTAGCTGCAGCTCCAGGGGTTATGCGTAGGTCGGCACCGGATGTACCTATTAAAGTAAACGCCAGCTGATACTTCGTACTTCCGATAATAATTAAACCCGCTGTAATGCAATGCGATATGCTGAAATTACTGAGGATGGCGCTAAAAATCCCTCTTACTAGGGCTGCTAGGGCCTACGTGTAGCTATCATCTGAACCAACTCTGGTAATTAAACAGTTCTTAAAGACTTTTTAGTCAGGTAGCGAACAAATATAGTAATTGCCTTCATAATTTTAGTTGATGTTGGTGCGGATGAGCTGATTGGCGTCTAGGGTTTTGCGATGTGACCACGAATCTCACTTTGATCCAGTTATTTCATCTGTATGGTCAGTCGCACGGACGATAGGGCAACGATGCTGAGTTTATTGTTTCGGTTCCCAAGAGTAGCACGATAAAGGCGCCGTGTCTGAGATCCAGCGCCATTGGCGTCGTCCGAATTTCTAATTGCTTACCAACCATTCGAGCAAGGCGAACTCGCTGGCCAGGCCTGTAGTTAGTTAGATAATATGATTGTAAAGTAAAAAGTAAATGTAGGGTTAGACTGTTAGTAGATGTCATATAGAGACTGATAACGAGGTATGGTAAAGTCTCCCCGTGTAAGACTACCTGTCTTTCAAAAACTCCTAGAAGATGCCGACAGCATAGCTTCGCGAATACCAATGCGGGTTCCCCAGAGAATAAAAAGATCTAGAAGTGAGTCGAGCCTCTCGTCCCTGCGTCGTGTCTTAGGGTTCTATCAGCCGTGAACCCGAGTACACAGTCAGTTCGGCTGGGCTGCTGGGTTGAGATATGTAGGTACTTCGCGACCTAATATCTTACAAGCGCGGGGATGACTGTCTTCACCCCAGCAAAGTACCACATACCTGACGGTTGGGTATCACTTGTTCCAATAACTTCGAAGCCATGTACCATGGGGCATCTAGAGGAACTCTGTCTGCTTGGCTGCTTGGGCACCACTGGCACCACTGGCACCAGTAGCATAAGACATCCATACAGCCGCATATCGAGCGCATATCGAGTCGTACATAATAGACTGGACCAGTCTATGTACAGAACGCGCAAACCACTCGCCACAGCAGGGCGAATCTGCACTGCCCCAATTCAACCTAAACGTCGATCATTATTTGTGGCTTTCGACGCAATGGAATTTATTTCCAACGTCAGTTCATTATCGTCGGAAGGCTGTCAGGGATGAGTAACCGAACCCGCGTCCACGTCGGGGAAATGGCGTGTATTTGGATAATGAGGCGGTAAGGAAATAAGCGGACATGAATAGAGAAGGATGGCCTTGGGGCCTTTTAATTGGAAAGCCGAACATCCAGAACATGGTGCAGATAGTTGATCAGTTAGTTTGTTGTTCATGTCTGACGAGAAATGACGGTTGTCGCATTGTCCGCCATCCATCATTATCACCATCGTCACCGTCATCCCTCTTTCTGTTTCCCGTTTCCCTCCTCCGAGATTACCAACCCCACACAAAAGCAACGAAAGGAAGAATTGTAAGTAAAAGAGAACGCGGGATAGCGTCTCCGAATGAAGAACGCATTAAAACATAAGATTGCGCAACAAGTATTTTAGTTGCTAGACTACTACGGCGGAGCGGAGACACGCTTTAAGTTTAAAATGAATGGTCCTGTAATCCGCAATACCTAAGGAATGGTTGTGAATGTTTTGTTTCGATTTGGGGAAACAATCCCGGTCTATCGTTTTAATAGGAGGGGTTGGGCAGTTGGGACGGTAGTGATTGCAGAAGATTACAGATTAGAGAGATGAAAGGATCCAAATCACCTGCAGAGGATTAGGACCCGGCGTCTTGGAGCCGGAGTTCCGCGCGCCTTGTGGGGTGCGGATTAAAAGCTCCAGGTACCTCAAACTCAAAAGCGTACCTACCTAATGTTACTTTAGGTACAATACCTACTTATCAGCCCACTGGAGCCGTGATATTCGGGGGTGCTTATAGGAGGTAGGTAACTGATAGGCCACGGCTATGTAGAACTTCGCTAGGCTGGTTAGGCGGGCATATTGTTTACATATATGTACATAGGTTAGGTAGGTAGGTATCGTACAACAGTAAACAACCTCAGGCGCATTATGATTGGCACGTAAGGCAGAAGATAGGATTGCCAACCCTTACATTCAACTTTTAAATATCAAACACAACAAAATAGCCTATGTAAGTCTAAGCACGTTAAGTTTCAGCTGATCAAGTAGGTACTTCCAATCAATTTAATATTTATGCCGTTCTTTATTGCCGCGTGATGTTGACAATCTATGTAATAGGTAAATATCCCCGGCTGCTAACTTACCTATCACTTACACGGATGATAACTTACACGGTTATGGCCCTAACAAAAAGGTTGGGTACCTACCCTAGCCCGACATGGATATTGTTGTTACAGCACGTCTTATTAAGCCTCCCAGAGAGCCCAAGGTGATCTAGACCTCAGCCCTTCCAAATGCAATGTGACCATAGGTAGCCTAGGTAAGGGGGGTAACCTTGAAGGTCGCGTGAATTAAAGTTTCCATGATGCTTCGATGCTGGCATAGGTAATCGGTTTGATGAAACCAGTGTT